GAGTCGTCGCAGGCGACTTCTCGGCATCCGCCGCCGGAGCTGCCAAGTCTGGCAACATGAGTCGCGCTGGAGCCCGCCGGCTCCGCGGCCCACCCCACGGACGAGCAGCGACGGCGCTCGGGAACGCCAGGTCGCAACGCCCCGTCGCCTCGCACCTTGACACCGCCTCACTTCGCGCGCGCCTCTGGAAGCGCCCGCGCAATGCTCGCCGCTTCTGTCCGACGAGCCCAAAAAATAAATCCCCCCACCGAAGCTCGGCCCGGGCCGGGGCCTCGGTCACACCTGCGACCACGAAGAGCAGCTTCTGCCCAAAGACCGGAAGGGCTCCACCGAAACCGCGCCCCTCGCGAAGCTCGGAGGCCGTCTCGCCGTTTGGCCCGCGGCGCGGGCGATTGATCATCGCCGCGGAGCCAGCCAAGAGATAATGGGACGCCGCCCGTCGAAGCCCCGGTCGCGTCGCAACGCCGGGCAAGCCAGACCGGCGCGCACAGCGCCCTTCACCTCGCGCATGGCGGCCTCCGCGAGGCCGTCGCCCTGCGAGTCGCACCCGGCGGGCCGGACCCCCCCCGACTTCGCGCGCGCACCCTCGAGCTTGAGCGCCGCCGCCACCGACGTCTCCAGCGCCGCGATGGACGCCTCGCCCTCGCCCCCGAAGATCACCCCGTCGAAACCGGCGCCCGCGACGTGGCATTTCCCAGCTCCTTCGTCGCGTGCTCGTCGGCCCCTTTCGCTGGAACCACTGCGGCCCCGAGCCATCGATCCCCCATGCACTTCCTGCGCGATATGGGAGCGCTCGGTTGGGTTTGGACGTCGCGGCCCCCGTCGCTCAAGCAACCGCAGTCGAAGCCCACCACCAGGATGCTGACCTCGGGGCCGCCAAAGGCGCGGCGATGCACCCAGCCACGCCCTACGCAGCGCCCCCCGCACCACGCGCGGAAGACCGCGTGGCCACCTGCGACGCGCCCCTCGCGCTCGGCCGCCGTCGGCCGAAAGGGGCGCCACCACCCGCTTGACTGGGGCGCCCTCCCCAGCCCCCATGCCGGCATCCGCGTCGCGAAGGTAGATCCCCTGGCCCTCCATCGACGCGACCTCGGACAACTCCTGCGCCGAGGTGAACGGCAGGTTCTCGGGGGGCTACAAGCGAACCCTGAGGTGCCATGCCCGTCGCTTCCGAATGAATGGGGTTGATGCGAATCCCGGAGGCTCGCCATCGATCGCCGGCAAGGAGCACCGTCTCACACCGACACCTGCTCAGGTCGTCAGTCGCCAACAACGCCTTGGAGGCGCCCACGACACGGAATCGCGCGACGAGGTCGACCGCCCGGCCGTCGGCGCAGTCCGCTTCCAGCCCGAAGATCCGCGCGCCCCGGTCGCAGTCGGCCGCCTCCACGCAGTACCCCCCGCTCAAGCTGAGCCTCGTCGGGCGGAGAGAATACGACCCAGCCCCGACGCCTACCGCGAGGCAGCTGACCTCCGCGCCGGAGCCCACATCGATGTCCAGCTACTCGCCTGGCTGGACGCACGGCCCTCAAACGGCACTCAGAGCGGGGCCACCCGCACCCGAATCCAAAGTTCCGAAGGGCCAGGGAGAATCCCCTGCGCTCTCGAGGCCGCCCTCGGCATCGGCCCCGACGGTGCCGATGTCGAAAAGCCCCGAAACCGCTGCGACCCCCGCCGCATCCGCAGTTCCGCCGTCCTCGGCCCGGGGCGGCCAGGTGCCGGGGCTGGCCGCAGTTGAAGCACACCCTATCATTGCCCTTCCTCTACCTGTCCCCCCTCCTCCTCGCCCTTGCTGCTGCTGCTGCTGCTGACGAGGGCGGGGGTGATGTTGACGGCTGGGAACGCCCCCAGGCGCTCTGCGCGCGCCAGCGACGCGGCCAGGTTAGCCAAACTTGTTGCGCGCATGTTCCTTGCGCGGGCACTCCGCCGTCGCGCGCGATTCTGCCCCGCACCTCGGACACGCGGGCCGCCGCTGCTGGCGCTGCCCCCCCTGGCCCGCGCCCGCGCCGCCAAATCTGCCACGGCCGCCCCCTTTGGCAACGGCGCCGATGTCCATGGGCACAGGCTGGGCCTGCGCCATGGCGATCGACCGACTGATCGCAACGACCTCCGCCCAGAAATCGATCCACCGCGACAGCTGGCCCACCCTCATCAAGAGGTGAGTATTGATGGGCGATTCAAGGATATTTAGCAAGAACGCCCCAATCTTGACTTGAGAAGGTGCGCGCGGGCTGCGTTGCAGGGACCCCCAAGAAGCAAGACGAACGACCGCCACACTCGTTCCCGCAGAGGGCAAGGCAAGACGAAAGGGCGCACTCGTTCCCACACTCGTTCCCGCAGAGGGCAAAACAACTCGCTTTTGCAAAGCAGCTCGGCCACGCAATCTAATAAGCAACTCGCGTTTGCAAAGCAACTCGGCCACGCAATCTGAAAAGCAACTTGGTTTGCAAAACAGTCCTGGTCCGCCCGAGTTCGGTTTAAGAGCAAATTTACGTTGGATAACGGAGCGCACTATTAAACCAAACTGCAGCTACTTGGATTAACTACTACACTTCTGCAGCGATTCGCGGCGCGTTGTTTTGAGCGTTTGGGGGTTCGCGCCTAAGCAAAATATTCTCCTCCTTTCCCTCATCCTCCCATCCCTTCTGCCTCATCCTCCTCCTCCCCCTCCTCCCCTCCCCTCCTCTCCTCCTCTCCTCCTGTGTCCTCATCCTGCTCCTCTCCTCCTCATCCCCTATGCTCCTCTCAACCTCCCCTCCCCTCCGCCACCTCCCTTTCCTCCTTATCTCCGCTCTCCCCCTCCTCCCCTCCCCTACTCTCCCCCCCTTCCTCCCCCCTCGTCGCCCTCTTTATCCCCCTCCCCCGACCCCTGACGACGACGACGACGTCGACGAGGACGATTGTTCACCAAGCGGCTGGCCCGTCGGCGGAGCGTCAGCAGACAGGCAACGAACGGAAGTGGCGTCCTCTAGACGCCTCAGCGGCTATGAACTAGCTGCAAGTGGCCCCACAGAGGCACAAGCTGACACGTGAGGCACAAGCTGACACATGAACCACGCGGCCGCGACGTGAGGCACAAGCTGACACGTCCAACTCGCATCCAGGCTATCTCGCGCCACGGCCGCCTCAAATGACAAGCTGCATCATGTCAGAGGGTACATGCAGCCACAGGCTGCATCAAGTGAAAGGCTGCCTCACAAGCTATATACTCACGTCGACATCGAGCGCTGGCTGCCACGGAGGGATGTAGTCCGCGGGGGTCGGCTTCGCCTTCTTTCCCTTTTTCTTGTTGGCGGGAGGCGCGGGCTTCTCGGGCTGTGGCTTGGCCCCTTTTCTTGGCCTGCTTCTGAAGGAGCCAAATGTTCTTGCCCTGGTCTGAGAGGTACGCGGGCGGGGCCTCCTTTTTCGCAAAGAGCTTTGCCTGAAACTTGGAGAGGCCATCGCACGCACTGTCGAGGATCTTGGTTTTCTCCGCGAGCTCATTTTTCAACGCGCTGTTGTTCATCAGAGCGGGCGTCAACCGATTTTTGCAATAGTTCGCGGGCCGACCGTCTGGCACAAGCGGACGCTGCATGATATGAATATGTTCAATCGGTGGCAAGTTGCCAAAATCGAACAAGTGGCACTGGACATGGACACTGGAAGCTTAAGCCCAAACTGGCTACGGATGTGGATGCATGCGCGTGGTTGCCTCCTATGTTTGCGTTTCTGTTTGTGTTCATGCCCGTGCGAATGATTGCGCGCGAGGCGAAGCCTACGATGACCCCCCCCCCCCCCCCCCCCCCCCCAGCGTGGCCACCGCCACCTGCGGCCACGCCACACAAGCTAAGATTGCGGGTTGCTCCAGAACCTCGACCAACACCACTGGCTGCAGAGCCGACAAAACGACGTGCTAACACATCACGGCACGTCGCCTCGGACCGCGCCCCCCCCCCCCCCCCCCCCCCCCCCCCCCCACCCCACCCCCCCACCCCCACCCCCACCCCCACACGAAAGATCACGAGACGATGCGGCATCATTGCGCCACGCCTCCAACCCGATGCTGGCTCGGAAAAGGGGTCGTTGAATAGTGCGCGGGTGGGGACGGGCGAAACGTGAACAATACATATCATTGCCAACACTAGGAACTAAACGCACTGTACCAGAGTGGCTGCACGAGAACGCCCGACCTGTCGAATACACGGGGGGTGGCAGAGCCGATGCGAGCACCCCTGGTGCGGAACAGACAGAACGTTGCAATAGCTTCCACACTACCGCTGCATCGGGGCCGAGCAGACAAGCGCGGTGAGTCGGAAGCACGGGCAATCAGGAATTACAAGAACGATCAAGATAACAATGATGGCGGGGCAATGTCGAGCGTTCACTTTCTCTCTTTTCCTCTCGCGTGCGATCCTCTCGCCGAGCCACCAGGACGCTGCGAGCTCTGCTGCTCGCTGGGAGCGGGCAGAGCGCCCTACACAGCGCCGCGCCCGCGGCCCAGAGATGGCGGAAGACGGAGGGCAAGGCGTCGGAGAGCGGGGCGCCGGGAAAGGCGAGCGGGCCTAGGCGGAAATTCTGCAGGTCAAAAGTCTGCGATCGCCCTCGGGTGGCTTCAAAGGATCAAAGCAAGCAACCTTCGCCCACGACCAACTGAGTCGATGCAACGGTTTCTCTGTTCGAGTTCACTAGGACCGCCCCCTCGAGGGCGAAGTTCGCGTCGATCGTCGTCGCGGCGAGCGGTCGAATCGGACAAGTATCGTTGTGAACGACAAAAAACCTACCTCGTTGTCCCGCCTCGCCCTCCCTCCTCCTCCTACCCCTCCCGCGTTCTGCTTCCTTCGTCGCCCCCGCCTCCCTTGCCCATCATCCCTCGCCTCGTCTGCCCCCCATTGCCCTCCACCCCCGTCGTCCTTCCCCCGCCCCACCTCCGTCCTCCGTCGCTCCGTCCTCTCCCCCACCTCATCCTAGCCATCCTCAAGTAAACATCTCCTGTGGCTCAAGGTTGCAGCTGATCGTGCTCCCTACTGCTCGCGCTTGGTGCGCTTCAGCCCACCGCCGCGCTTGGGCATGGCGACGGGGGCGGGCTGCTGCTCAGCAGCAGCTGGGGCGGGGTCAGCTGCCGACGTCGACGCGGCCGCGGTGCCGCCACCCTCCGCGGCCTCCTGCTTGACCTTGGTCGCCGAGGTCTTCGTCGACGCAGAGTCGCCCTTGGCTTTCTTGGGCTGCGGAGTCTGGACGGCCCCGCCGCCCAAGGGCGCGGCGGACCCGCTCTTCTCCACGGACTTCGCCTCCGCGGCGCTGGAGACCTCGGCCGCGACTGACTCCAGCTCGGCCAAAAACCCCTGCGGGAGGTCCTTGTTTTTCTCCGTCTTGTACTGGTTCAAGAACTCCTGGGCCCGCTTGGGCCCGCCAGGCTCCTGGCGAACGGTGGCGAGCATCTGGATCCCTTTGGTCATGGTGATCACCTGCCTCGCCTTCCCCTTGCGGGGCTAACTATCGAGCGCGCGGCGCCACGTCGGGGCTGGCTCGCCCATCGAGGCGCCCCTCCCCCCTCGAGGAAGATGCGAAGAAGGGTGGAGACAAGGAGGAGGAGGAGGAATCGCGCTGCGTAGGGGGTGCCCGACGGACAAGCCAGCCCCGATGCGGCCCAGCCAACCCGTTGAAAGCCCTCGGCCATCGTTGCCATGGCAACGTCGACGCTCTCCGTCGTGAGGTCATGCAGCTGGACGGTCGGCGAGATGTCGAACAGCGTGCCCGCCCTCGCAAGCCAGCTCAGGTCCTTGTGCACGCGGTTGTAGGACCCCACGGTCTTCTCCAAGTTGTTGAACTGCGTGGCCGCCAGCTTCTCGTTGAGCGCGCCCGTGGTCTGGTCCATGACGGCGTTCCAGTCGGGCAATATCTTGTTGCACTCGGCCGCGCCGTCCATGACGCACGCAGCCATCAGCTTCAACAGCTTCGTCTGGTAGAACCCTGACACCACAGCCATGGACTTCGCCCACTGCCGCGCGCTTTGAACCGAGAGCGGGCCGGCCCAATCCAACACCTCGAGGTCGTGGGTCCCCCTCGAACTGAGCACTGTGTCCAGCCTTATCAGCGCCTGCGCCAACAAGCTCTGGGCGTGCACATTGGTAAAGAAGAGCTGAGTAGCATCGGTCGCCTTCTCGATGCTCGGCTTGACGAGCATGTTGGTGTGCGTCACCGCCGCGATGGAGGCGACGTCCTTGATGTAAGTCGACATCTTGAGGTACGCGAGGGCTGGGACTGTGGCCAGTCGTGGGCCCCCGTTTGCACTCACGCCTGGAAGGCTGAAGGACGCGATGCCACTCGCGTCAAGGAACTCGACCAGGTCCGACAAAGCCTTGTAGCGCACTGAGGACTGCAAAGCCGCCTCGTCGATGGCACCGCCGTCCTTGAAGTCAACCCCGCTTGGGAGCAGGCTCTCCAATGAAGTGACCCCTACGACCAACCTCCCGAACGCGGCGTCATCCTGGCCTTCCGCGATCGCCTGCTCGCTGACGTTCCCGAGGGTGAAGGCTAGGGTCGGAGCGACATCTTCCAGACGCCGTTGCACGAATGCGTCGGTGCATGTGATGTAGAGCTGCGAACCTGCGCAAGCACCGTTCCGAATCCCTGCACCTGCCCACACCCGTCTGTCCTGTATACATATTGCCCCCCCCAAAAAAAAACCCACGCCCCCACGCTCCATCCAAACCCACCTTGAAAGCAACACCATGGCGTTTTTCAAACCAGATCCATCTGGAACAAAGGTACACGTAAAACTGGATAGCGTATGGCCTACAGGCAGCAGGTGTTGGGGAAACGGTACGGTGCCCGCGGGACCTACCACGGTTTTGAAGTTGTTGAAGTTGGACGTTACCAGCTCCACGGTCTCCATGTCGGTCGCGCAGGACTCGACGGCTGTCTCGCTGAGGCCCCCCACGAGATCGCCGTCGAAGGCGCGCTGCAGGCCAGCGAACTTGATGATTAGCTTCGTGTATGTGTCCTGCTGATTGGCGTCCGTGGCCTGATCGCGCATCTTCGCCAAGTCGATGCAGCGCGCCATGTAGTTCGTCATGTCGGTGATGGAACCCTGAATGGAATGAAGCTCGCCGTCGTAAGTGACTGGGTTCATCGACTTGTGGGCGTCGCCGAGTTCGTCAATGAAGGCGTCGCCCATGCGCTGGATGGCCAAGTTCCTGACCCTCAAGAACCTAGCGTAATAGTCGCCTAGGCACTGGAAGTACATGGGCAAAGTATCCAAGATCTTCCCGAGCTCCTTCCTACGCGCGTCTAAGTCAGCAATTATGGTCTCATTCAGCGCCTTTTGCCCCTCCGCGTCCAGGCCTTGGCCTTCGGAGTCGGCACCTGCCGCCTTCTCAGGAAATATCAACTGGAGAATCAAGTTCCCCGTCTGCGAGGAGGTCGAACCTGCGATGGCCCAGTAGACCTCCACAATCATGCACTTCCCGACCTCCAGGACCGCGCGGCTGTTCGCCATGTTGTCCGCGAAGAACTTGATGTTATCATGCGCACATGCCGTTGTCCACTTCGAGAGCGCCGCATGGGCGCCAGAGAAGAATACGCCCACGCCTGAGAAGGCATACTGGGGCCGTTTGAACCCGCCATCTTCACGGATGCTGATGTCCTTCAGCTGTGCTGCAATCCAACCACGCGCGCACTCGAAGAGCTGGTCGAACTGCGACTCGAATGACTCCGACGCGGCCTGGAACGCCGTCGTCGCCGTCTCGTCCTCGATGCTTTGATTCACGTGAACCAAACTCGCTTCCATCATAAGCTTCGGCACTGGGTAGGCGCACATCGTTCTCGCAAGCTCCGCCGCTGGGCTGCTGGGCTGCTTGACCTGCTCGGCGATGGTCCGCCCGGCTTTCCGCACGGACGTCGCGGCTGGCCTGAGCTTCTCCATCGGGCACATGCACTTGGCGATTACGACGGCGCTCTTCAGCACCTGTGGCGCCCGACGACCGACGCCCTACGACCGACGATCGACAGCTCGATCGACGACCACGGCGACTGACGATCGACGACCGACGAGGACGATCGACGACGACGACCGACGACCGACCACGACGCCGACGACGACGACGGCGACGATCGACGACCGACGACAGACGACCGACGACCGACGACCGACGACCGACGACCGACGACGACGACGACGACGAGGAACGACGACGACGACGGACGACGACGACGACGACTGCGATGACGACGATGGGGCGTCGACTTTGACGACGAGGCGGGAAAGGCCACCTCCTCCCCCTCCCCTGCTCCTCCTCCTCCTCCTTATCCTCCTTCTCCTCCGGTAGACTCCTCCCCCATCCCCTGCTCCTCCTCCTCCCTCCTCCTCCTCCTCCTCCCTCCTCCCCCTCCTCCTCCCCCTCCTCCTCCTGGCAAGGGGCGGCAGAGAGCGATTGAGGCCGCACGAGACCTCGTTGAATGCGTCGTCCTCCACGACGGTCTCGATCAGCTTCTCCTTCTGCTGCCACCCATTGAGGATCGCGCCGAACTCGTTGATGGCGGCAGTGGCGTAGGAGGAGTCGTCGCGCATGGAGGCCATGGTGAGGCTACCCAGCCAATCTCGGACACCGCTCGAGACCATCGCAGCCAAGTAGTAGAGAGGCGTCTGGCCAGCGACCACCTTCGAGGCCAACTCGCTCATGGGTCGAGCCTTGCGCGCCTTCTTAGCCTTCGGCGGGGCGTCGGCGGTCTCGAGGCTGCCGCCGACGCCGCCCTCAGTCTTCACCACGTTCGCTGACTGGTTGACCGCAGCCGCGACGATGTTGTCCCTCATGTCCACCATGTGGCGGAGCGCAAATGCCTGGTAGACGACCATCGCCTTCGAGACCGACTCCTGGCTCACGATGAGATTCTTGAACACAGAATAGTTGATGATGATCGCCAGCTCCTCGTTCATTTTACCACCGACCACGATGCGGTAGCCCAACAACGTGGAGAACGGCTGCAGCAAGCCGACGAGCATCTCGTCACCCTGCGCCTCGCTCCATTGCTTGAGCCCCTTGAGCAGATCGATCATAGCCTTAACGCGCGTCAGCAGCTGCTTGTATGCCGCCTGGACGTCGTAAGATGCCTTGTTCACGATGTCCGCCTCGCCGCGGTTCTCCAACCTCCTGGCGAGGGCGTGGACGGTACCGAGGATGATGTCATTATACCAAGTGGGGGACTCCATCTTGCTCGCGTAGTTGTTGATCGTCGTTCTGATCCTGTTAAAGTTGGCGTACGCCGTGCCCGCGGACAGCGGGGCTTCCAGGGACAGATCGCCGACCCTGTTGTCACTCTCACCGAGAATGCCACCACCACCCGCAGCGCCATCAAGAAGAAATTATGGTTCAAGTTCTGGTTGAACGGCTGGTGCTGGACCATCATCAGCTTCGCCATCCGCGGCCTCGTTCGCGACAGGCGCATCCACTGGCATAGCCATGTCGGGCGTAGGCAGGCTCGGTGGTTCCACCGAGGTGTACGCCATCACCTCGGCCAACACGGAGCCCATCGCGAGGAACGAAGCCTTGGCCTGGTCGATATCCGAGGCGGTCGGCGCCTCCTCGCTAGGCCCCATCGGCTCGGCGGCGGCGTTGCCGCCGACATTGCCCTCAGCCTGGACGCCCGCGTCTCCCTCAGCCTTAGGAACGACGCCTCCGATGTCGTCGTTGTTGCCACCACCGTTGTTGTCGATCTGCTGCTGCTGCCTGAACGAACCGAGGCGCGAGAACGTGTCCCCGCGTGGCTTCACGTCGGCAATCAGGGCGTCGCCGACGTCGGGAAGGTCATCGACGATCAGGGGGTCCACCGTATCCTGCAAGCCAACTCCCTCTGGGCCACTGAACGCGCTGGCACTCGCCATGGCAAGGAGGTAGCCTGTCTGAGTCTGGTCCTGGAGGCCGGAGCACCAGGAGCTTCAGAAGCTGCCCGATTTCACACCCAAACACTTGCCTTGATCCTAAGTCGCTGAAGACTCAGTAAAGGGATGTAGCAACGGAAACAAAGCCTCTGATTTTAGCATCACCCCCCGCTCGAGCTAGCGAACTTCCGTGGACAGAGAAAAACATGTTTGGGCTGGGTGAAGCCCTGGCACCCTTGCAGTGACACGCAGTTGACAAAAACCTCCCCCCTCCCCCATCCTCCATCCCCTTTATCCCTCCGTCCATTCCTCCTTCTCCTTTTCTCCATTGTCCCTCTCCTCATCCTCTCGTCGGCGTCTCTGTAGCCCAATTGGGTTTGGTTTTCCTTTTGCTGGTTTCGATTGACGTGTTTGTATTCGTTTAGTTTAGGGTTCAGGCGTGCTTGCGAGCATGTGTGTGTGTGTGCGTGGTGTGTGTGTGGTGTGCGCATGTATGTGTGTGCGTGTGGTGCGAATGCGTGTGCGTGTCTGTGTGTGAGTGTGAGTGAGTAAGTGTGCGTGTGTGTGGCTGTGTGTGTCTGTGTGTTTGCGTGTGTGTGTGTGCGTCTATATGTATGTATGCATATATATATATATATATATATATATGTGTAGGTGTGTGTGTGTTTGTGCGCGTGTGTGTTTGTGTGTTTGTGCGTGTGTGGAGGGGGAGATGGGGGGGCAGGCAAGGGTGGCTGGGTGGGTGGGCGAGGGGGGGCGGTGATGGAGGGGCTCAGCGGCTTAGCGCGCAAGGGTATGTAGTCTGTAATATGTATTATCGCTGTTTTGTAGGAGGCAGGGCGTGGGCGAGGGGGGAGGGGGCGCGGGGGCTTATATGATTCATGGGGATACGCCAGCGCCAATGGCTGACAGTCACGCACGCCGCACCCACACGCAGACAGAGGCACACAGAGAGTGTGAGAGAGAAAAGACATACACACATACCCTGGGTCATACCCCACCCCCCCACCCCCACCCCCCCACCCCCCACCCCCCTCGCTCACACACACACACACACACACACACACACACACACACACGCGCGCGCACGCACGCACACTCACTCACACGCACACGCACACGCACGCACACGCACACGCACACGCACACGCACACGCACACGCACACGCACACGCGCACGCGCACGCACGCACGCACGCACGCACCACACACTCGCACCCGCACCCGCACCTGCACATGCACACACACACACCACCACACACCGCCCCCTGACCCGCGCGAGCGAAGCGCACGGGCTAAGAGCGACGCAAAGGGAGTCGGGGCGGATGTGAGGAGGTGGGCAAGAGGAGCAGAATGAGAAAAAGGGCCGGAGCATAAGGAGGACGAGGACAGTGGCCGATGGACTCAATCCAATGAAGACCAGCGGGGCCCATTAAGTCTCCAATGAAATCCAATGGAGCCCACGGAAGTCCAATGGAATTCAGCGGAGCCAACGGCGAACACTGACGCCCCATGGAGTTCAACGCTTACGGAGTTCAATGGAACCCAATGGGGCTCAATGGAGCCCAATGGAATTCCAATAGAATCTGGAGTTCAATGCAATCCAATGGAATACAATAGGGTAAACTTCACAAAGGTATCCCGCGCTCTCCGACCTGGGGGCCGCTAATCAACCATCCCTATCAAGTAACACCATGCGGCGCACATCCCGCTACGGCGGCGAATTCCTAAACTTCCACCATCCCTAGCAAATAATACCACGCGGCGCACATCCCGCTACGGCGGCTAATTCCTAAACCTCCACAACCCCTTTCAAATAACACCATGCGGCGCACATCCCGCTACGGCAACTACATCCTAAACCTCAACCATCCCGATCAAATAATTTCAAATAACACCATGCGGCGCACATCCCGCTACGGCGGCTACATCCTAAACCTCCACCATCCCTATTAAATCGCACCATGCGGCGCGCATCCCGCTACGGCTGCTAATTCCTCAACCTCCACCATCCCTATCAAATCGTACCATGCGGCGCACATCCCGCTACGGCGGCAATTTCCTAAACCTCAACCATCTCTATCACATAATACCATGAGGCGCGCATCCCGCTACGGCAGCTAATTCCTAACCCTCCAGCTTGGCATCCCGATCAAATAACAGCATGCGGCGCCAGTCCGGCTACGGCGGCTAATTCCTAAACCTCAACCATCCTTATCAAATAGCCGCATGCGGCGCACATCCCGCTACGGCGGCTACATCCTAAACCTGCACCACCCCTATCAAATAACAACATGCGGCGCGAACCCCGCAAACAGGCCAAAGGGAGTCGGTTTTCGCTTACGCCCTGGCGCTGCACTCGGAGCCCGACGTTCCGTCCCCAAAGCTGAAAGTGAAGGGGGGCAAGAGGGCGAACATTTATCCAAACGGGCACCAGGGAGTCGGTTTTCGCTTACGTTCTGGCGTTGCGCTCAGAGCCAGAACTCTCGGCCCCCAAACTCAAGCTGAGGGGGGCGCAAGAGGGCGAAAAAGTATCCAAACGGGCACCAGTGAATCGATTTTCCCTGACGTTCTGGCGCTGCACTCGAAGCCCGAATTTCCGTCGCTGAACGACGAACGGCGACGACGACGGACGGACGGACGACGGCAGCGACGACGACGGCAGCGACGACGACGACGTCGACCGACGACGACGACCCAGATGGCCCGCGCCGCCAGACGGCTTCGCGCGTTATGTGCATGTAAAGGGAATCCAGGGTGGGTGGTGGGATGTTCGCGCCGCGCCAGTATTCGACGGAGTGGCGGCCCAATAGGCGCGCCAATGACGCCTTGCGAGCGGTTACCGCGTGCGCTTCGAAGCGCCGCGGACGTTCCAAAGAGCGCGAGCACGCCGCCCTGCGATGGGCAACGTGACGGGCTGAGGACGCCATCGCACGCGACGAAGAGGCCGATTAAGAGCCCGAGAAGCGAGCCAGAGGGTAGCAGCAAGACGCCCCAGGCAAGTCAAGTCGCGGCAGCTCGGCGCGCGCTTTCGAGGACCAAAAGGGCGGCGGCAGAGCAACGCGCAAAGGCGTAGTCAAGAGCAGGACAGGCGCGCGGACGCATAGTCAACTCGTGTAGTCAAGAGCAAGACAGGCGCGCGGACGCATAGTCAACTCGTGTAGTCAAGAGCAGGACAGGCACGCGGACGCATAGTCAACTCGTGTAGTCAAGAGCAGGGCAGGCGCGCGGACGCATAGTCAAGAGCAGGACAGGCGCGCGGACACATAGTCAAGAGCACCAGGCAGAGCAACGCACAACGCACAACCGCCAAGAGCATGACGCAGACCAGCGCGCGCCCCGTAGTCATGAGGGCGACGCAGAGCAGCGCGCAACAGCAACTCGCCAAGAGCAACCCGCGGAGCAGCGTGCAAGAGCCCGCGCGACCGTGGCAAGATTGGTCAGACGGCCAGCGCAAGTCGCCATGAGGGAATCGAATCCGACAATGTGATCGGGGTTGAGGCGGCAAAGCTCTGTAAACGGTGGATGGGGGGGCGATGGGCGGAGTGGAAGGGTGTGCGGCTGCGAGGGAAGTAGGGCGTGGATGCGTGGGTGCGAGGGGTGTCGAGGAGCGCGGGAATGGCGCAGATGGGCGGCGGGGCCTGGTGGTGAATGGGAAGGGGTGGTGGACGGGAAGTGGGAGGGGTTCTTGAGTCAAGAGGGGAATGGGTAGGGGTGGCAATCGGGAGCGGGGAGTGGTGGTTTGGGGGAGGGGGGAAGGGGGGGGATTGGCTGTGGGATGGGGGAAAGGGGTGGTGCTGGTGTTGCGGCGGGAGGGGACAGAGGGTTTTGGTGTTGGCGGACGTCGGGCATGGCGAGAAGAGAGAGGACGGCGGGCTGTGCGATGAGAGGGCAAAGGAGCTCGAGAACGGTGCCTTGTCCTTCCGCTGCGCCAGGAAGACGCGATGAAGTACAGCTGCAGACCCTGCGGCAGGGAGTAGCGAATTGGCCTGGGGGACACGGAGGCGAGCAGGGGCGGCGCGATGGGGATTGGAGGAAAAGTGGAAAGGGGTGCGAGGTCGACCGAGGGCGCCTCACTGGTCGCCTCAACCCCGATCGCTTTAATGGTCTCGCGCTGCGCTAAGGTTCGGCACTCTCGACCCCGCCCGATAAGCCACGTTCGCCAGCGCTGACTCCACATAGACTAGCGGCCCGCAAGCTCCCTAATACCAGCACTACCGCTGGACGCGATCGGACTCCATTGGGCTCAAGTGGGCCCCATGGGACTCTGACAGGCTCATTTGGGCTCCACGGGTTCTCATCAGACTCCATTGGGCTCCTTTGGATTCCACTGGACTCCTGTAGACCCCATTGACCTTCATAGGGCTACATTGCGTTATACACATCATATATATACACACATATATATGTAAATGTATATGTAGATATACTCAGACCCACTCATTGTCAGACTCATACTTCTTATGGAGGAGGCGGGGGAGGCTCGTGCAATGCCCACTGTGGCAACCCGCCAGGCCCCCAGAGTCCGTGCAGCGGCAGCTTACCAGCGCCGCGGCGGACCCACCCCCCGCCCGGCAGCTGGTCCCAATGGCCGAAGAGCCCTCTGGGGTTGCCACGTCTGTGTGGAGCGGGAGGGGCAGGGGTGAGTCTGGTCCCCCTCGGGGATTGGTGGGCGCCCATAGGTCTTCGAGAAGGGGTTCCCTCCTTTTGGAGGGTGGCGGTTCGGGGGAGGAGGAGGACGGAGGGTCAAACATATCCAAAACGGCCCACGACATTCTCTAAGACGGCCCGTGGTTCCTCTAAGACGGCCCAAAACATCCTCTAAGACGGCCCTGTGTGTACATATCAGGGGGAGGGGTGGGGCTGCGAGGGCGATGGAGGGGGGGCGGGCAGCGCGGGCAGGGTGGATGCTGGAGTTGAGGTGGAGGGAAGGGAGTGGGGGGGGGACGAGGGGGGTGTTCCATTGGGCTCCTGGGCGGAGGGGGCACCGTTGCATGCGTTCCAACAGAAGGGAGCCTTTATATGGGCGCATGTTTGCCAACACTGCAACATTGCAACGTCGGTTGCGTCCCTGCATCCATATAGCAATTGCAATAGACTGAATCCGTTGCTATCGACAAGGGGAGCTGTTGAAATACCATCAGGGACCCATCGCAATCGTTTGACGACGCAAAGGCAAGGTTTTGGCTGGCTCAGCGAACCACTTCTCAACGAAGATGAGCAATGACTCCTGTAGGCAAGCCTAAGTGGAGAGAAACTCACCGCAATGCAATAAAAGGCCGCGCCTGCTTCCTAGAACAGACGAGGAGTTACCGCGCCGCGCCGCGCCGCGAAATGCTGTTTCAGCACGCGAGAAAGTTACCGCGCAGCGCCTAGCCCCCAAGAAGGTGCGCCTAGCGCCGTGCCGTGCCGCGCTGCGCATGGCTCCCTGAGTTGAGCCGCCGCATGCGCGCGCCGCGCGCCGCGCGCTTTGCCCGCACGCCATGCCGCGCCTTCGCCGCGCCTCGTGTTCAGACATAGAGCGCACAGTAACAAGCGGTTGCATGGTCCCCATTCTGATGTACTTCACTAACAAGCGTTTGATGCCCTGCAACGGCACATGCTGTTTCAAATTGCGCGCGGTCCGTGGTCCGAGCGCGCGCATGGTCGGTTTTTGAGGCGCCTGGAATCGGGCGCCGTTTTTTTGGCAGATATCCATACTGCTTCGTGGTTAGCGCATTGACTTGGTGCGTGCGAACGGTTCGATGTATTAGCGATTCTTCATGATGTGCGTTCCTGGCCAAATATGATTGCATGCCAATCGTGCGCGCGTTCGTGGTGCGCATTCGCGGTGCGTGATGTTTGCGTTCGGCGCCGCCTTGTGGTGCGTGTTGTTGGTGCCCGCTGTTTATTGCGTGACACGTGACAGTGCCCTTAGCGGGTATGCCTCCATATTGGGTGCCATCATCCAGGCACCGATTCAAATTCAATCAGCTTTGCAATCAAAAATCGTCGTCGTCCTCCTCCTCCTCTTCTTCCCTCCTCCCCCTCCCTTCAACCCACTCCTCCACCCGCCCCCCCCTCTCTCTCCCCCTCCAACGCCCATCCTCCTCTTCTTACTCCTCCTCCTCCTCCTCCTCCTCGGGGGGAGGGGCGACGACGACGACGAAGACGACGGGGGAGGCGCGCCCAATGGTGGTCCGAAGGCGTTTTTATCCAGAACGCCTGCTGACAGGAGCAAGGCGCGGCCCTATGGTCGCGGCCCCGCCCTCGGCGAGAACGCTGACGCCCGACGCGTCTGGGCCGCCACACCACCCTCATTCCTTCCTCCCATCTGCATCATCACCCCCATGCCCTTCCCACCCCCACCGTTGCCCCCCTCTGCCATCCTCATTGCCTGTTCCCCCTCCTCGCCCTCGCCATCCACATCTCTACTCACCCCACCCCCTCGCGTTCTCTCTCGTTTCCTACGTACATATACCCCGCATGTGCCCTGGCTCTATCGTCTCTCTCTACATATGTATGTAGATCCACACACCCGCGCCTGGAAGCCCCCAAAAGGCCGCAAGAGGTTCCAGGGGGCCCCTCAAGACGACTCCAGGAGCCCCAAGAGGTCCCAAAGAGGCCCCAAGAGGCCCCAAAGAGGGCCGGCCCAAGAGGCTCCAGGACTGCCCTCAAGAGGCCTCCAGAGGCCTCGAAACTGCCTCCCAAGGGCCGAAAATAAGCCAACCACGAGGTCCCAACCAACATACATGAAGCCTCTGACCCACAAACCAGGCACGGTGGCGGCATAGGCCGAAGGCCACTAGATCCGCCGCCCCCTGCTTGCAGGGGTGCACGGCGCGCTGGACGATTCAGGTTTTGGTGTTGGTTCTTTTTCTAAAAGAACTCCCCAGTGGGCTTCGGCCCGTCCCGCCGGCCACCCGCGCATTTCCCAAAATCCGTCTGTCAATGCCCAAAAACGGCCGTTTCGCTCGGGACATCCTCAAAAAATCGCGAAGATGGCCCAAGATGGCCTCCAAGTCCGCCCGAGATGGTCCAAGACGGCCTCCAAAACGGCCCAAGAGAGTCCAAGACGGCCCAAGACGGCCCAAGAGGCCCCCCAGAGGCCTCCCAGACGGCCCAAGAGGCCTCCAAGAGGTCCTCCAGGAGAGTCCGAAGAGGCCAAAATCATTGATTTTCCCTTGGTTTTTGAAGGATTCTGGCATTTGCGCCTTTTCGGCTCTCCGACGGCTCAAGACGGCCCAAGAAGCCCCCAAGATCGCCCAAGAGGCCCCCAAGAGAGCCCCATGATGGCCCAAGTGGCCTCCAAGATGGCCCCTAGAGGGCCCCAAGAGGGCCCAAGAGGCCTCCAACACGCCCAAGATGGCCTCCCAGACGCCCAAGATGGCCTCCAAGACGGCCCTGGAGCATTCCAAGCGGGCCCCAAGTCGGCCCATAGAGGCCCCCCAAACGGCTTCCGACGGCTTCAGACGTGCCAGGAACCCACCAAGATGGCCGAAGTTGGCTCGAAGCTGGCCCGAGACGGCCCAAAAAGCCCCAAAGATCGCCCAAAGCTTGCCCAAGAGGCCTCCAAGACGGCCAAGATGACCTTCAAGATGCCCACGTGTTCCCCGAAGGCTTTCCAAACCGATTCGGGGAACACGTGGTCCGATAGCTTGGCAGGTCTGGCCTCAACGTTCGGCCACATAGGCGCTTCCAAAAAGGCAGGGGGCGGCGGTGATTCGCCGTAGGCGTCTTCGATATATATATATATATATATATATATCACTCAACCCTCCGCCCTCCGTTCAGTTTGTCTTCCTGCCACCGCACCTCATCCCCCCAGTCAGCTTGGCTCAAGGAAGCGTCAAGCCTCAGCCATCGCTGTGGCCTTCGCTTTCGGTTTGGCCTTAGCCTTTGCTTTGGCCTTCGCCGCTGCATCTGGCTTGGCTTTGGCTTTCGGCTTAGCAGCCCACATGCCCTCGGCTAGATCTACACGCTGCCGCGCCAAGGCCTTATTCTCAGCAACGGGCGCGCCTGGCGGCGTTGGCTCAACTGAAAGAAAAGCCACATGTAGATGTCGATATTAGGACCGCAAGTGGCCTCGCTCACACAAATGCTGCACCCCCGATGCATGTAGCACGTTATTGTTACAGAATTACTAGGCCTTTCCCTCTGAATTCGGAGGGCGTGTCTGCCCCCCAAGAGGTAATATCCTAGCGGGGTGGGGTCCGACAGATCCATCCACGGCTCATGGTCTTCAGGGGGCAATGGCTTGCCACAGAATGGCACAGCTAAGGGGTCAAACTCTGAAGCCCCCGCAGCCTTGGCAGCGGCCTTGCCTTCGTCACCAGCGGCCGCTGCAATCGATGCGAACAATTCGTCATCCAGAGACTCCTCATCGTCGCCTCCATGTCCTTCGTGTAGGTCGTGTGGGTCGGGATCGACTCGCGGCGGACGAGGTTCAGCATGACCATCTGGCAGTCCCGCAAAAGCCAAGTCCAGCTCCTCCACGGACGTCATGGACTGGGCGCTTCCTTCGCCAATCATCTCCATGTAGCTGTCGGCGGGCTCCACCGCCGCGCACACCTCGACCGACTCCGCCATGTCCATCAGCGGCTCCGCCGCCTCTGCGCGATCGACAAGTGCATGGCGACCACGGCTGCCCCCGCGGCCGCGGCCGCGACCGCCGCGTCCTCTGCCTCGACCTCTGCCACGACCTCTGCCCCGACTCGTCTGTGCATCGCGTTTTTGCAGCTCTCGAGACGCAGTCTTCTGCGCATCCAGGCCGAAAGGATCATCGTCTCTCATCTGTTGTTCAGGCGCTGGGCCCTTACCGAACGCGAGTGGCTTGCCCATTCCAGGTTGCCATATACAGCAAATGTCCGTCGTCTCATAGATTTTCGAACGCCTCAGGTTGCCCGTGTCAAAGACCAGCTCGTACGTCGCCAAGCTCAGCTTCATCGAAGCAAGGTTGTGTACCAAAACATCAATCCACTCGTCCGATGTCATTGAGGCAATCGCATTGTACATATCGTCGATCTTGCTGTCGCGGCTCATGATGTTGACGAAATAAGGAAGAACCAAATCCTGGTTGGTCGGGGCGGCTCTTTCCAGAACGCCCCCCCCGCCCCCTTCCTCCGCCCCCATACCCCAAACCCCGCCACACCCCTCCCCCGTCGCCGAGGGAGGGGGGCGGGGGAGAGACGACGAAGGTGAAGGGGGGGAGCGGTGGCACCAATGATAACGGCGACAGGAGGAGGAAGCGGCGGGCGCAGTGGACGAAGGACCCTGGGGTGAGGGGGTAGCGAGCGCGGCCGACGAAATTACGAGGAGCGAGGGCGCGCAACCATGTCCCCACTGAATGCGCCAGGGGGCCGAGAAAGGGGCAGAGCGAAAGGGTTAGGGGGTCGGTTCTGGAAACGTCCACGCCGACCCCTGGCCTCCGAGGTCGCGCTGGTGATGTCCTCGAAACTGTGGTCGGTCACATCGAAGACGTGCGGCGAGAACGTGATGTCTGTGACCAACGTCACGTAACGCTTGTGGCCGCCACTCACAGCGGGCCCTTCGACGATCAGCATGACGTCCGCTGCGGTATCCCGACCAGCACCGATCCACTGCAGGTAGTTGAAGATAGATTTCTCAACGATGGGGAACGCCGCTGGCTCCCTCGAATTAAACCGATCGGCGTTCCGCGCCGCGCGGGAAACGCCCCAGCAGTCGAAGCCCTCGCAGGACGCGAAGTCTGTCTCTTTGTCGGCGGGTACGCCCCTCGAGGAATGGTCCTTGTCCAGCGTCTCGTCAAGCGTGGGCCACCCGCACTCTATGATGTAGGCGCAGAGCTCACTCGGGGTGAACGGCGTGGCATGGCAGCCTCCGCCCCAGCAAAGCGCGCACTCGGGGGTCTCTGGTTTCTTCTTCTTGTTGCTTTGCTGCTGTCTCCATAGCTGGTATGCCTCGCTGTAGACATCCTGGTCGGCGGAAGCCCATATGCGTTTGAACTCCTCCTCGTGCATCTCCACCTCGGCCTTTGTGAGGCTCCTCCCTTTCGCTTCTCTGGCGGAGTGCATGTAACCGTTCTTCGCCAATAGATAAGGGTTGAGGCCGCGCCGAAGCTGGTCATCTGCGGAGTCGCCGCCGTCCGCGTCGACGAGTGCCCCGAATGGCAGGCTCGGGTTAGCCCTCCGCTCAACGACAGGCTGCTCGAAATGAGTCTGAGGGTCCAGTGCGACAGCAAGCTGAAGTTGATCTGCCTGCGCGGGCGCGTCCTGGATCGCGAGCGGGCCAGCCCCCCCCCCCCCGCCTCCATAGCCAGAAGGGCCGGCTGGTCTGGCAAGGCACCGACACCGCCTCGAAGGAGCGGCGCACACGAAACAACCTCGTCACTCGCCACGTTGTCGGCTAAGGTTGCCGAGAGCGGGTCCGCGCCTCCACGCTGCTGGTGGGTGTTGCTGAGCTGGCTGAGCACGTGCTCCCTCGACGCGATGGCCGAATTCCTCCCTGGGGCTCGTGCCCGATGCTTCTGCGTGCACTCTGAGTTGAGGCGCTCCACCATGTCTGTCGCGTAGCAATGTGCTTTAAAATCGCTTGCCAGCACGACCTGGCACTCGAGGGACTCCATGGAGTCTGTCGTGCTGAACAACCGACGGATTCCGAGAGTGTACGAGTCCAGCATGTAGTCTGGGGCGTCGTGGGCTTCCTGAGCGATCGCCTGTTTCAGAGCCGCACTCGACTCCTGCTGCGACAGTCCATAGAGCTTGCACGGCCACGCACTGAAGCGAGCCTCGTATCGGCGAGCCATTACCGAGTTCATCTGAAGTATTTGGGCACGGGCCCAGCGGGCGAACTGCTGGTCCTTGAGCGGCGCCTTCATGATGTCGAGGAGGAGCCAGTGCCCCCGCGCTGGGTCCCCCGTGTCCCAGCTGTCCAATAGGTTCAGCATGCCCTGGCTGAAAGTGCTGATCTTGGAACCTACGCCGAGGAGCTTGTCCATCTTGCTATTGATGCTGCTGGTCTCGTCGCAATCACCGTCGGGCTTCGTCGGTATAGCGCCCCCCATGAGAGGGTACAAGAGGTTCGCGTCCGTGGTCTCCAAGATCGCGGTGTACACAACGAGCTGAAGCATATTCTCTTCGCTATCATAGTAAGTTTTGACTTTCTTCGCTCTGACCTTGAGCACGTGTTTCCAGAAAGCGTCGCTACCTTCGTCATCAACTCCAACTTGTGGCCCCTGCTCGCAGTCGATGTCCTCGGGCCGCACCGAGCTAGCGTAGCAGTCGAGGCCGATTCGGTGAAGCAGTCGCCGAGTTAGCGTCCTCTTGAAAGAGTGCAGGAGATGAGCCCAGCGGCTCTCCGCGGGCCGCGCGTCCGCGGAGCCGTGAAATGCGTGGACCACCGCTGTCATCATTGTCTCGACGCACTGTTGCCGAGAAGTGCAGCACGGCTTGTTTGTTGTGTGGCCCCAGCAATGGTGGACGAACTTGCCGTCCTCCCTGTTCAGGCTCCCGTTGGCAAGCTTGTACAGCCCCCTCAAATCTTGAAGAAACATACTCTCGCCACGCCCCGTTCCGCCGTTCTTGCGCCCCTCCCGCTGGTGGTGCGTCGCATCCAAGGTGTACAAGATGTCGAACACGTGCTTCAAGGTGTCCGTCATTGGCGGTGCTGGCCCAACCTCCCTCCAGAGCTTCTCCTCGATGAGGCGCTCGATCCCCGCGACGTTCTTGGTCAGCTGCCCCTTGTAGCGGAACAAAGATGATATTGAATAGTGGCGCATTGTGTGGTTCCGTAGGCCGCGCATCTTGAGCTTCCCCCTGCGGTGCCCGTGAATCCCGCATGTGTCGGGCCAATACAAGAATTTCTTGCCCAGATCAGCGTTGTCGACAGCTATGCCGTGCTCCACCTCCGACCCTGCGTTTTCAAGATCAGCACGTTCGCGCTGGCCTTGTCGCACATGGGCATGAAGGTCATGGACGAGACCATCTGCAAAATTTCACACACCGAAGTCCTGTTCATGATGTCGACGGAATCTGGGAGGCCGCTGCGGACACCAGGGAGCAGCCCCTCCGCCCTGGTGTCCGTAACCTCACGCGGCTCCGACAAGTAGTATTCCTGAAACTGCTGCCACTGTCCTCGACGTAAGTCCGCGAGCGTCAGGTTCACCGTCCCGCGTTGTATCATTGTTGGCACTGTCATATTCTTACGAAGGGTTCGATATCGTTCTGATGGCTTCCACTGCTGTTTCACCTCCACCTCGCCCCACATGTGTCCCACCCCCATGTGGACCGATCGGGTCTGATCGCCACCGTTGGCCAGGGCGGCGGCGCTCTTCCGCAAGCAGCGCTGTACGGCTCTGCTCTGCCTCCGTTTCAAATACTTGACGGCTGCTGTCTGCAACCGCCGCAGGTCCACGCCAATGCGAGCCCTTCTGCGATCCCGCATGAAGACTGCTTTCGCGGCAAGCTGGAAGTCTGCCGCCTTACGAAGCCCGAACGCACGCGCACCCCGACCAACCCCCTCCCGTTGGAAAAAAACACCCCGCAACATCCGAGACGCCCCGACTCCCGAACCCAACAAATCCTAAACACTGATGGGCGCATGCCTGGTTTCTGGGAGGACCGAATGGAATGGGAGGGGAGGGGGGAGGTGGGCTGTGGTCGGGGCGCGAAAAGCGTTTGGGCCTCATCGAGCCGCCTTCAGTTCCCGTTTCTTCCCCAAGGTCGATGAACAGGACGCCGATGGAATAAGCCTAGCCGCAGGCACCACAGACTGAATGTTTCTGACCGCCGACTCGCGCGCCTGCTTCTCGCCCTGCGCGGAGCGGGGGTTGCTCGACCCCGTGGCTATCGACCCCTCGCCCATCAGTTCGAATGTCCACTGGACTTCGCCACGTGGCGTAGGCGACGGGCGAGGGGTCGACGCCGCAAGTTCATGCAACCCTCCGTCCGACCTTGAGCTTCTCCTGGAGCTCTGCAATCTTCATTTTTCTGCTTGGCCTCCCGTGCGTGAGCGACGTGCTCCCTCGAGCGCTGCGTCATCTTCGGCTTCTCCGCTGCGGCGTCCATGAGTTCGAACTCGCCCAAACCCTGGATCTGCCCGCCGCCTGCTCCGCCCTGGCCAGGCCCGTGGTCGGCGAGAAACTCGTCCTGCAAGACATCTGGCCCGTGGTCAGCGAGGAACTCGTCCAAGTTGACGTCCACCATGGTCGCGACGTTGAAGTCCCAAACAACTGTGATATGAGATGATGTTGTCGAACTCGTTGCTGCTGTGATATGTGATGCTGGTGCCGAACTCGCTGCTATGATCTGGCGCGCTGGCGTCGAACTCGCTGCTGTAATATTGGACGCTGGTGCCGAACTCGCTGCTGTGATATTTGACGCTGGTGCCAAACCGCCTGCTGTGATCTGGAACGCTGGTGCCGAACTCGCTGCTGCGATATGGGATGATGCCGCAGAACCGCCTGCTGTGATATGGAGCGCTGTTGCCGCCGAACCGCCAGCTGTGATATGGGATGATGCCGCCGAGCTGCCTGCTGTGATGTGGGAGGCTGCCGCCGAACCGCCTGCTGTGATATTGGTTGTTGGGGCCGAACCGCCTGCGGCATGGAACGCTGGGGCCGCCGAACCGCCAGCTGCTATATGGAGTGGCGCCGCCGAACCGCCAGCTGCTGTGATATGGAGGGCTGGGGCCGAACCGCCATCTGTGATATGGAGCGCTGGGGTCGGACCGCCAGCTGCGATATGGAGCGACGGGGCCGAACCGCCAGCTGTGATATGGAAGGCCGCGGGCACCAAGGCCTGCAGCAGAATGAACATACAGATCGAATGAAAGAGATATCCTCGCGCTAGAAAGGCCCAACTTGAGCCAAAACGGTTGCGGAGGGACGCGACCAGCATGGTGAATGGCCAGACAGGGGCGAAGGGCGGGCCAGGGTTGATAAGCAGGTTCCCTGGGGGGAAGTGACGGCAGTTGCGCTATTTCGACAAGAACAAAAAAACAGCCCCCCCTCTCTCCCCCCCCCCCCACCCCCTTCCACACTGTCTACCCCTTCGACGCTCCGCATTTCCAAGCAGACGGGGGGGGGTGTTCGAAGACCTGGGGTCGTGGTGGGCCTGGCCGGCGCGTCCAATCCTATGGGCCTTCCAGCGCGCAGAAACCATCCGTCGGGACCCCGAGACCCAAACTGGCTGTCCACAGAACGATCCCCGACCCCGACCTCCCCGTCGTGCTCCTGGCCCCCTGCCCCCCCCACTCCCCTCCGAAACGCGCTTGGCCCGAAAGGACCCACCCCCAAGAAGCACGGCCTGCCCCCTGGAAGAGACAGGCATACCCTAGGGCGGGCGAGCACCAGGACGGATGGAGGGAGAGGGGAGGGGAAGGACTAAAGTAACAAAAAGGAGGAGAGAGGATAATGACAAGCAATGCAGTAGGGGAAAGAAGGAGGAGGAGATGGAATGAGGAGAGAGGATGACAATTGTCTGACGCTGATGAAACCCGCGGTAGAGGAAGGACGAGAGAATGGCGAAGGGGAGTGGTTTAGTTGTTTGTTCGCGCTGCAAACTTGTATCACAAATACGCAATGTCCAAGAACGACACCTAGAAATAGCTTCGACGTCGCGCGGAAGTTTTGAGTTGACCCAAGAATCTGCAAACCAAAAGGGTCTTGCAGACGGTCTTGCAGACCGTGCGCGAACATCTCTGAAAACACCTCTGCGTCCGAGACCCCGTTCGCAAAAACGCATGCGAACCTCTCCGAAAACACCTCTGCGAGCGCGAGTCTCTCCGAAAACACCTCTGCGTCCAAGACGCCGTTCGCGGAACCGTCTGCAAACCCCTGGGTTGGCAGTTCTGCAGTAATGATGGATCTCAGGCCAACCCACCCACTCAAATCTTGACCGCATCGTGGAAGGTCTTCCACGGGTCGCGCTCGCACACGGCGAACTATCGTTCCCGCGCCGCACTGCGCTCAGGGACGTCACCCTGCAGCGCGAGGCGCGTCCGCATCCCGGGCTCGCACTCGCCCACAAGCTTCCGCCACGCCTCCAGCTCCTCGCTGCCCCCCGCGAGGAGGGCGATGTCGAGCGCTGCGCCCTTGCACGGCATGAGCAACATCCAGTACAGCCGAGCACTGGCTTGCGCATCCGCTTGATCAGTCAACGTCACATTTGGCACTGGAGTGCTCGAGTCAGCAACCGATTTTATCAATAACGCGAGCAGGGGGAATGCGGGAACAGCGCAGCCCCTGAAGACTGCGCCCAAGTCCCGCCACGCGGCCCTTCCCCCAGATGTCGCCGGGCTTGCCCAGCAACCTGGCGCCCACGCCCGCGCTCACAGAGGCCTCCGCCCTCGGCGCCTGACCCCCCGCACCCCCGGAAGCGGGCGCCCCGCGGCCTGCTGCCGCCTCCAATCGCGCCTGCCCCACGCCGGCCTCCAGCTGCTGCTGGCGCGCCTGCGGCTGCCTGACTGTCTCCGCCATCTGTTGCACGGCTGCCCCCACGGCCCCTAGTGGAACCTGTCCTCGGCCTCCTCATCGGTCTCGCCCCGCGCGGGGCAGCCCGCAGCGGGCTCGTCGACCGCTTCCTTATTCGCGGGGCCACCCGCAGCCAGGGCCTCCCACGCGGGGCCACCCGCAGCGTGATGGCCCGTCGCGCCCTCTCGCGCGTGGCTACCCGCAGCGAGATCGCGCGTACCCCGGCGCGCTCTCCTCGCCTACAGCCGCCGCAGCGCTGCTGCCGCGCGCCGCCGATCGCCCGTCACCCCCCGCGAGTCTCGGCGAGCCTTGGAGCGCCTGCCGCGCCTGTCGCGTTTCACCCTGGAGCCATCCGCCCCCGCTGCCTCCACGACATATTTTCTGCCGCCGGGTCAAATTGGAGCAGCCCCGGCATGACGGCCAGCGCAGAAAAGAACGCAACCTAATTATGGACCGACTCAGCATCAGTGGCAAGGGATACCTGCATATAGAGCCCCCCTGTTAACGTAGCCCTTCGAGTTCTGATGGAACGCGAGGTTCGCTGATGAGCTCGCGCAAGGTGGCCAACGTCAGGCAGCACCCGTCGAGACAGCGGGCAGTGGCCAGAGCCTCCGCGGCGCGGCTAGACCTAACCAGAGAGGGGACCACGAGGTCCGCGCAGACCACCAACGCAATGCACGGCTTTTTCCCCGCTGCTCGCGCTTCCACGGCGCAAGAGGTGACAGCCTCGAAGGCCGCGCGATTTGACATCGTCGTCTTCGCCGGTGAGCTGCCTGCACCCAGGGTCACTGCGCAGGTCCACCATCCCATCTGAGACCGTTCACCATTGATCTTCTTTGGGGATCTGCAACAGCTCGCGGGCAAGGGCATCAGGGAGACCCGCCTGGGCACCGGCATGTTCCTCGATGCTCGGTAGCGGGACTACATCACAGTGATCCAGATGTGTAAGCAGTGACTATGGGGAAGCTCTTCGAACAATAACAAACGCAACGCCGGCGACGCAATACCCTTAGAACCTGAGGGGCAACAACATCCGGGCACACAATGGGACAAATATGCTCGACATGAGCATGTTGTCCATAGCCACGCCCCCACTATGTCTCGACGCATCATACGGCACCGTTCGCGCAGGTGTTCTCGCGCAGCTAGATTTCCCAAACACTTGATTGGCATGCTTGACGCAGTCGCCAGCACGTGGTTCCATGCCACACAACATGATGTGATCAAACTGCTCGGCTGCCACCAGGTCAGTGGCCGCTTCGAACTCAGCACCGCATAAGATGGAGCCAAACCAATCATATCCGCTGTTCTTCTGGTATTTAGCAAGAGCGCTCGAGGTGCATCCTGAGTACCAGCGCCAAGATGCAGTCACTGTTCAACATGTCTCGATCCGCAGTCACCCTCGAAACCTGGACGGGGTCTCGGAACACATGCAATGTCCAGCGGCAAGGCGAGGCAGAAGGCGCACCCGATCACCCGTGGCTCGGGCTTCCGAATGCCGCCCCCAAATCCGAACTAGCTAAAATCCAATCCTTACGGCACGCCGCTTCACTGGCCCTCGACCTCTGAGGCGCTCGTCGCGCAGCGCCCGACGCGGCTTCCACGGGGGGGGGGCCCTGATCCATGGAGCCACGCAGCATCAAGCGAAGTCGAGCACTGTTCATCTGTCTTCCTGAATCAACTGCGATGAACTTCCACTTGCAGACCTACCTGGAAACCGTGACGTTTCGAGCTCGCAAGAGAAGCTGCGCAGGGAAACAAATGAAATAAACATGCACGACGTCAGCCAAGACGGCTGCGGCCACCAACGCGGGAGCATTCAGGATGCATTGCCAAATGAGCACGTCGTCTCTCTCAACGAGCACAGCTTGCCTAGCCTCGGCAGATACGTGCACGCGAACCGTCGCGACGTCGCCGGGCTGCCAAGCTTCGACTTGGCCTTCCCCTAAGAGCACCCTAGTCATGCCCGCAGCGAGGCAAGGCGTATCTGAGAATCTCCATTGGTCAT